AATAACAACACAATGCCACTTCATTACACGATTAAAATATCAGCACCATACACATTAAAACATTATCATCCCAGTTAAAAGAGCCAAATCGTCCGACACCATCACAATCCCATTCATCATCCTCCTTTCATGTGGGCAAAGAATTAAATCAGTTGTCAAATGCCGCGTTCCACAACCAGGTCTTTGTTAGTTTCCTGAACGTCATGAGGGAGGGGGCAGTTCTGATCTCTAATGGGAGGGAGTTCCAAAGTTGAGGGGCCACCATCGAGAAGGCCCTGTCCCTCGTCCCCACCAGCCGTGCTTGTGCAGGCGGGGGGACCGAGAGCAGGGCCCCTCCAGACGATCTTAGTGGTCTTGATGGTTCGTAGGGGAGAACACGTTTGGAGAATACACTGGCTCTTTCACTCTTGTCCACAGGGAACAGGCACTATCTTCATGACTGGTATTTTAACTAATGGGGAAATCCTTAACTTCTAATCTGGGCAGTCTTTCTTTGCCTCTGTTGGCGTGGAGCCCCTACACCCGGTACCAACTGCGTCTGGCTTCCGCGAGTGACCCTTACCAAGCAGAGCTTTGTAGACTTCCAGAGGAAAAAGGAGTTCAGGTTTCGGTGATGGCTGGCTGAAGTCCCTCAGCAAAGGAGCTGTAAGGCTGTATAATCCTCGGCCAAGCTACGGGACCTTTCTCCCCGGCCAAGCTGTAGGGCTGTATCCCAGCCAAGCTGTAGAAGACGAAGCTTTCTACAGGAGCTCTTGGTATTATGTCCTGCATGGAAAGCTTCTCTGTGTGGACTGAACCCAAAAAGGCTCCTATTCCCTCCAAAAACCCAAAAAGGGGGCAGGACCAGGGAACCTAACTATAATTGACAGGTGGCTTGCCCTATGATTGCAGCCAAAAGAAGCCACCTATCTGCAGAATCCCTGAAATTTAGGACTATAACAAACATTAAATGCAAAGCAAACAAAATTGGAGCTCCTGGTGCAGTTGTACCTGCACAAAGTGGATTTGATGAATGTTTTGAGCTTCTCTGGGTTGTTGTAGGTTTTTTGGACTGTTTGGCCAAGTTCTAGAAGCATTCGATCTGGATGAGGGCTAACAAATTGAAATTGAATCCCGAACAGGACATAGGGTTACAGCCTGTGTTGGATGGGGTCACACTCCCCCTGAAGACGCAGGTTCGCAGTCTAGGTGTGATGCTGGACTCATCGCTGAGCCTGGAATCTCAGGTCTCTGCGGTGACCAGGGGAGCATTTGCACAGTTAAAGCTTGTGCACCAGCGGCGCCCATACCTTGGGAAGTCTGACTTGGCCATGGTAGTCCATGCTCTTGTTACATCTTGTATAGACTACTGCAACACTCTCTACATAGGTTGCCTTTGAAGACTGCCTGGAAGCTTCAATTAGTCCAACGGACGGCGCAGGTTGCTAACTGGAGTGGCTCTCAGGGAGTATACAATTCCTCTGTTGCGCCAGCTCCACTGGCTGCCAGTCTGCTACCGGGCACAATTCAAAGTGGTGGCTTTAGCCTATAAAGTCGTAAACAGTTCTGGCCCAACTTACCTGTCTGAACGAATCTCCCCTTACTAACCTTCAAGGACTTTAAGATCATCTGGAGAGGCCCTACTCTCGGTCCCGCCATCATCACAAACACGACTGGCGTGGACGAGAGACTGGGCCTTTTCAGTGGTGGCCCCCTCGGCTATGGAATGCCCTTCCTAGGGAGATCAGATCGGCTTCTTCGCTCCTAGCATTTCGGAAGAATCTTATTTGAGCAAGTATTTGCGAATACTGAGTAGCAGACATGAGAACGGAACAACTACCTAATGGGACTAGACATAGTTTTAATGAGTATTTATTGAATTATGTTTTATTACAGTGTTATGATTTTATTGATGTTGACGTTTTATATTGTAATTGTGTTCTTGGTGGCATTGAATTTTACCTTGTAAACCGCCTCAACTTCACAACCTCTGAAGATGCTTGACATGGATGAGATGAAACATCAGGAGAGAATGCTTCTGGAACATGGCCAGACAGCCTGAAAAACTTACAGCAACTCGGTTTTCACAAAGCTTTGGAACTAGGCCCATGCTGAACTTGCTGACCGAAAGGTTGCAGGTTCGAATCCAGGGAGTGGGGTGAGCTTCTGCTGTTAGCCCCAGCCTCTGCCAACCTAGCAGATCAAAAACATGCAAATGTGAGTAGATCAACAACCCATTTTCCTAGTTTCCAACAGACCTCACAACCTCTGAAGATGCTTGACATAGATGCAGGCGAAACGTCAGGAGAGAATGCTTCTGGAACATGGCCATGCAGCCTGAAAAACTTACAGCAACTCGGTTTTCACAAAACTTTGGAACTAGGCCCATGCTGAACTTGCTGACTGAAAGGTCGCAATCTGGGGAGTGGGGTGAGCTTCCTCTGTTAGCCCCAGCTTCTACCAACCTAGCAGTTCGAAAACATGCAAATGTGAGTAGATCAACAACCCATTTTCCTAGTTTCCAACAGACCTCACAACCTCTGAAGATGCTTGACATAGATGCAGGCGAAACGTCAGGAGAGAATGCTTCTGGAACATGGCCAGACAGCCTGAAAAACTTACAGCAACTCGGTTTTCACAAAGCTTTGGAACTAGGCCCATGCTGAACTTGCTGACCGAAAGGTCGCAGGTTCGAATCCGGGGAGTGGGGTGAGCTTCCGCTGTTAGCCCCAGCTTCTGCCAACCTAGCAGTTTGAAAACATGGAAATGTGAGTAGATCAGTAGGTACCTACAAAACATGGTTGGATATCTCATCAGAAGTCTGTGAACCAGTTTTACTGTCAGAGACCTAAATCATACCTTTGAGATCATTGTTACCAACATAATGTGGTTTCACCTTTAATAGGAAAATTTTCTTTCCTTTTGAAAGAGGTATTTGAATGTTTTCCTCCCTTCCCAGCTATCACCCAAAGAATTCTAGGAATGGTGACTTTTTTTGGTGAGGGGGCTGAGAATTAGGAAACAAAGCCATCTGTTGAAAAGTCGATCCAAATGAATGACGTCAAACATGCAGGTCAAATAAAGTTAATGAGATGTCCGTCTTAGTGTAATTTCACAAGATCTCTGTCCACCTGCTCCTGACATCGGATGGAAGTCCCATTGATGTCACTGGCTTTGAGCAATTCTTAACCTTTGGTTGGATACTTGACTCCTTTCGCTCATTCTCCTTGGCTTGGACAACAGATTGGTTAGTGCTCCTACTGCTGTGTCCACTTGCATTTTGGAAACTAGCTTGGGTACCTGGCATTGCCCAGGTTATTTGAACAAGTAAATTTTGCAATTGTACCAAATGTGTAACATTGTAGATTAGCAACAACTGACATCATGCCAGGTTAACCCTGAGAAACTCCATCAGTACTTAAAGTTTGTTATGTTGGGAAAGTTTGCTCTGGATGCATCATCAGTAGGGTTCAGTGTGCTCCCTGGATGTAGGGTAAACTATGTAAATAAAAATGTAATGTTCGTTTGTGGGATTAACAGAACTCAAAAACTACTGGACGAATTGACACCAAATTTGGCAGCAAAACACATTCTAATCCGATCTATGTCTTTCAAACAAAAAAACGTAAAAAAATGAAGGGGAAATAACTTAAAACTCCCCAAAAAGAAAAATGCCTTACAGAGCATGCACAAAAGCCCCTCTCCCCATTGTGAGAAGAATGAAGCACCAATCGTTGTGAGGGAAGAGAAGCCTTGCCATGGAGTCCCTTTCCATGCAGGAAGGCAGAGTCCTTTTTCTTTTGGGGAGGGGAGGGATTGAGGAAAGGAAAGAGGGAAGGAAGGAGAAGGCCTGGCCCAACGGAGGGGTGGGGGCTTGGCGAGGCAAGCCCTGGCAGCAGCTGGAGCCACTGCAGTAGCTCCATGAGGCCCACGTGGCTACCAGGTAACTCTTCCCCCAAGACCAGAGGATTGCAAGGCAAGCCTGACTGCAGGAGTGGCTGCACACACCCCACACACACCGTTAAGTGAAGGGAGGATGCGAACCATGAGAAGGCCAGCAACTCTCCCACTTGGGCTCCACATCCCCCCTTTCACCCCCCCCCAAAAACTTTAAAAACCCTTACAAACTGTCCTGGAGGAAGGAGGAAAGAAAGGGAAAGGAGAGAAGAAAGGAAGAAAAGGATTGGTGAAGAGAAGATTATGAATGGAAGGAAAGGTAGAAGGAAAGAGGAAGGAAGGGAAAGGAGGCAGGGATGGGAGAGGAAAGGAAGGGAAGAGGCAGGGAAGGAACAAAGAAAGAAAGAAAGAAAGAAAGAAAGAAAGAAAGAAAGAAAGAAAGAAAGAAAGAAAGAAAGAAAAGAAAAGAAAGAAAGGGAGAAATTGGTGAAGGGAAGGGAAGACTATAGAATCAGAGAGTCCTAGAGTTGGGAGAGACCTGGTGGGCCATCCAGGCCAACCCCATTCTGTGAAGAAGCAGGAAAATCACATTCAAAGCACCCCCAACAGATGGCCACCCAGCCTCTGTTTCAAAGAGGCTTTTTTGAGTGTTTTGGCCAGCATGAATATAACTGAAAAGCTTCATTGGCTGCTTCTCATTACTTTATTTTCCATATCACTTTGCACCTTAACAGCCTGACTTCTACTAGCCAGCAGGAAACCTTTGGTGGGAGGAGTTCCCTTGCCCAGATTGCTTCATGTCTGCAAATCCTCTGTTTTCTGAGGGCCACAGCAACGCATGGCCAGGTACAGCTAGTTATCATTTATTTATTTACAGCATTTATATGCTGCCCTTCTCACCCCGAAGGGGACTCAGAGCGGCTTACAAGTTATATGTACATACAATATATTATATTATTGGCATAATAATATAATATATTATTATCTTACACACATGCATTTTTTTATTATGTGTATAGATAACTATTTTAAATTTAATGTAATAGAGTAATAATTTCCCTTCTGCCCTTATCCATATTTACTTATTTTTCCCTTTTCTTTTTCTTTGTGTGGGTGGAATGTAGGTCTCTATGACAAATGTTCGTACACCGTCCTTGACCGAGGATGGGTCCTGGGAATTACCAACATGAGCGATCAGGGCAAGAGAGATCCCCGGTATTTTTTTTCCTTGAAGACAGACCGTGCCCGGAAGGTCACAACCATCACAGATCACCGCAGCTACCTCCCAAACCAATGGGTCCACCTCGCCATCACTTACGATGGACGCCTGATGAAGCTTTACGTGAATGGTGCCCAAGTGGCAACAAGTCGGGAACAAGTGGGAAGCATTTTCAGCTCTTTGACCTCAAAGTGCAAGGTGCTCCTCCTTGGAGGCAATGCCTTGAATCAGAATTACCGAGGCTATATAGAACATTTCAGTCTTTGGCGGACAGCTCGGTCTCAGAAGGAGATTCTGATGGACATGGCCCAGGTGACTCATGGAGTAGATGCTCCTCTACCTCAGCTAGTTTTTCAGGAGACTTTATTGAATGTGAAAAGCATCTGGTCCCCCATGAAAGATAGTCCAAGTCTTCCTCAGATTGAATTAATTTCCCATCCTGACTACTTGTTGGATGCCGGTCTTGAGCCTCCTCCATGTGGGCAAACAGTCTGTGACAACGTGGAGGTCATCACCAGCTACAACAACCTCCCAAACTTCCGGCGCAAGAAGGTCGTCCGCTACCGTGTGGTGAACATCTACGATGACCACCATCGGAACCCAACCATCGGCCTGAAACAGATCGAATTCCAACATCGGCAGCTGAATGATGCCTTTAGTCCTTACAACATCACTTGGGAACTCGAGGTGTTGGAGGTGAAGAACTCCACCCTGCGACATCGCCTCATCCTGGCCAATTGCGAAATTAGTAAGATTGGGGATGAGAACTGTGACCCGGAGTGCAACCATACCTTGACTGGATATGATGGAGGGGACTGCCGGCACGTGCGCCATGTGTCATTCAACAGGAAAAAGCAGAATGGTGTATGTGACATGGATTGTAACTACGAGAAGTACAACTTTGATGGCGGGGATTGCTGCAACCCAGAGATAACAGATGTCACCAAGACATGCTTTGACCCACATTCTCCTCACAGGTAGGCACCATCTTAAATCAGGTCCTTGTAAACATGCCAGATTGATCTATGCTCTCTTCATTACTGTATAGCTTCCAGACCACCATACCCTGAACTAGTTCTAATTGGTTACTTGCAATTGATTAATATAAGGATTTGCAATTACTTAATTGCATTTATTTATCAACTAGCATGGATACCCTTGAAAAGTTATTATTTTATTTTACAAAATTCATAAAACCACCTCGAGTCGCCTGCGGGTTGAGAGGGGCGGTATACAAGTATAGTAAATAAATAGTAAATAAATAAGGTTTGCATAAGGTTATCCCCCTGAAACTCCATCAGTAGTTAAAGTTTGTCAGGTTGGGCAACTTTGCTCTAGATGCATCATTGGTATGTTCAATGTGATCTGTGGCTTCAGGCTAAACTACAGCTCCCACCATGGTGGGTCAGTCCCCTCAAATCCCTCCAGTAGGTTCAGTTGCTCATGGAGGTTCTGTGTGCCAAATTTGGTCCAGATCCATCATTGGTGGTGGTCACAGTGTCTCTGGATGTAAGTGAACTATAACTCCCAGAAATGAAGGTCAGTTCCCCCCAAAACTTCTCCAGTATTTTCAGTTGTGCCAAGTTAGGTCCAGGGACATTGTTGGTTCCAYAGTGCTCTTTGATCTGTATTAAGGGGTCACGGCATTAGGAAGGTTGAGAACCATGGARCTAAAGCTTCGAAGAGCTTCTGTTAAACCATTTCAAAACTCCCTGTTTGAGCGGTGATGGCACGATCATCAGCAMAGATGAAACTCTCTGTCCCTTCTGCCAGTGGCTGATCATTTGTGTAAACGTTGAACATTGATGGAGCGATGTATTAAGGAGTCACAGCATTAGGAAAGTTGAGAACCACAGACCTAAAGCTTTGGAGGGCTTCAGTTAAACCATTTCAAAACTCCCTGTTTGAGCAGTGATGGCATGATCATCAACATAGATGTAACCCTCTGTTCCTTCTGGCAGTGGCTGATCATATGGTTGAGAACCACGGACTAAAGAATCGGAGAGCTTCTGTTAAACCATTTCAAAACTCCCTGTTTGAGCAATGATGGCACGATCATCAGCATAGATCAGCGGTTCTCAACCTGGGGGTCGCGACACCTCAGGGGGTCATTCAGCCATTTTATGGGGGTCACGAAACCACATTGGCTGGCCACGCCCTCTCCAAAATGGCTGCCGAGCCCCTGAGCCACTGGTACTCCCGCGTGTGAAGCCATCCGCCTGTCCCTCATCTCCTTCTGATGGCAGAAGGAGGTGAGGGATGGGCGAGTGGCTCCGTGGGCACCCCTCGCCTGTGTTGCTCTCCCGCCGGCAGGCAGGGGTGTGGAGCAGGCGATGGCCCTTTGGCGCAAGGCCTTGCGCCAGGCGCCTCTTGCCTGCATTACTCTCCCACTGGCAGGCAGAGGAGCGGAGCAGGCGAGGGCTCTTTGTTGCAGGTGAACTATAAATCCCAGCAACTGCATCTTCCAAATGTCAAGGTCTATTTTCCCCAAACTCCACCAGTGTTCACATTTGGGCATATTGAATATTTGTACCAAGTTTGGTCTAGAGCCATCATTGTTTGGTCCACAGTGCTCTCTGGATGTAGGTGAACTACAACTCCAAAAACTCAAGGTGAATGCCCACTAAACCCTTCCAGTATTTTCTGTTGCTCATGGGAATTCTGTGTGCCAAGTTGGTCCAATTCCATCATTGGTGGAGTTCAAAATGCTCTTTAATTGTAGGTGAACTATTTTTTTTTGTTGCGTCAGGAGTGACTTGAGAAACTGCAAGTTGCTTCTGGTGTGAGAGAATTGGCCGTCTGCAAGGATGTTGCCCAGAGGACGCCTGGATGATTTTTTGATGTTTTTATCATCCTTATGGGAGGCTTCTCTCATGTCCCCGCATGAGGAGCTGGAGCCGGCAGAGGGAGCTCATCCGCCTCTCCCCGGATTCGAACCTGCAACCTGTCGGTCTTCAGTCCTGCCAGCACAGGGGTTTAACCCACTGCGCCAGGTGAACTATAAATCCCAGAAACTACCCACTGCGCCAGGTGAACTATAAATCCCAGAACTATCCTAGGTGAACTATAAATCCCAGAAACTACAACTCCCAAATGACATAATCAATTTTCCCTCCAACCCCACCAGTATTCAAATTTGGCCATATTGGGTAACGTAAGGTAAAAGTTTCCCCCTGAAATTAAGTCCAGTCGTGTCCAACTCTGGGAGTTGGTGCTCAATTTCTAGGCCAAAGAGCCGGCGTTGTCCATAGACACCTCCAAGGTCATGTGGCTGACATGACGGCATGGAGCGCTGTTGTTGGGTATTTGTGCCAAATTTGGTCCAGGGAATGAAAATACATCCTGCATTTCAGATATTTACATTATGATTCATAACAGTAACACAATTACAATTAGGAAGTAGCAATAATCATAATTTTATGGTTAGGGGTCACCACAACGTGGGCACTGTATTAAGGGGTCGTGGCATTAGGAAGGTTGGGAAACACTGTTCTATAGCATTGAGCCTTTGATTTTGAGTTACTCCTTATTTGCAGTGGCTTGCCATTTAATAGTGGTGGGTTCATACATCACTACCAAGAACTGGCAGCATTTTGGAATTTGCCAAAGCTTTGATAGTATCGTGGCCGAAATCTGCTTCGTACCGTTTTTGCTTTCACCTGGTCTTCCCATGCCTTCTGACTTGCTTAAAGCCATTTGATGGATATTATCTCTTTGCGCGTGTAAAATTGTTCCCCAGTGTAAGAGAATGCAATGCGTTTTAATGAAAGTTTTATTCTGGCAATAAACTAAATCAGGATGTTAAAAGTTAGGCAATGAAAACAGATGAAGTTTTATTGCTCGGGAATTACTGCTTCAAGAAGGAGAGAGAGAGAGAGAGAAAAAAAACCCTGTACAGATCTATGAATCCCGGGAAGCTTTTTGTTTCTTTTTTAAAAGCCAGAGTGGTCCCATCTTAAGCAATAACTGTCACATGGAAGTAGACACGTATTTATGAGCTCAGGTGAGTTTTAGTGCGGCCTTGTAAATAAAGCCACCAAAGTTACTAGCTCTGCAAATGTTTCATTGATCTTCTGGGAGCTGGCAAAGAAAAGATGGAGAGCTCTGTCTCTCCATTTTGCAGTGGTAACATTTTTGGGATGGGGTTGAAAGTCACAACCGGCACGTGGGAAGCTCCCTCTACCAGATCTGCCTTGCTTAAGAGCAGCATTTCTCAACTTGAGGGTCGCGGCCCCTGGGGGGGTCGTGAGAGGATGTCCAAGGGGTCGCTAAAGACCACAAGAAAACACATTATTTTCTGTTGGTCATGGAGGTTCTGTGTGGGAAATTTCACCCAATTCTATTGTTAGTGGGGTTCAGAATGCTCTTTGATTGTCGGTGAACTATAAAACCTGACAACTACAACTCCCAAATGTCAAGATCTATTTCCCTCAAACTCCATCGGTGTTCACATTTGGGCATATTGAGTATTTGTGCCAGGTTTGGTCCAAGTCCAACATTGTTTGAGTCCACCATGCTCTCTGGATGCAGGTGAACTACAACTCCAAAACTCAAGGTCAATGCCCACCAAACCATTCCAGTATTGTCTGTTGGTCATGGGAGTTCTGTGTGCCAAGTTTGGTTCAGTTCCATCATTTCTAGAGTTCAAAATGCTCTTTGATTGTAGGTGAACTATAAATCCCAGCAACTACAACGCCCAAATGTCAAGGTCTATTTTCCCCAAACTACACCGGTGTTCACATTTGGGCATATTGAGTATCTGTGCCAAGTTTGGTCCAGATCCATTATTGTTTGAGTCCATGGTGCTCTCTGAATGTAGGTGAAGTACAACTTCAAAACTCAAGGTCAATGCCCTCCAAACCCTTCCTATCATTGGTGGGGCTCGGAATGCTCTTTGCTTGTAGGTGTACTATAAATCCCAGTAACCACAATCAAGGTTTTATTGTTTATGAAATTTGGTGCATGTTATATGCTTTTGACTGTTTCTATATAATTGTGGCATCAAATTGTGCTGTTTTGTAAGCCACCTTGAGTCGCCCTCGGACTGAGAATGGCGATATAGAAATATAGTAAATAATAAATAAATAAATAAATAAATAAATAAATAAATAAATAAGGTCTTTTCCCCCCAAACTCCATCTGTGTTCACATTTGGGCATATGGAGTATTCGTGCCAAGTTTGGTCCATATCCATCATTGTTTGTGTCCACTGTGCTCTCTGGATGTAGGTGAACTACAACTCCCAGACTCAAGGTCAATGCTCACCAAACCCTTCTTTTGCTTTCTGTTGGTTATGGGAGTCCTGTGATGCCATGTTTGGTTCAATTCCATCATTGGTGGGGTTTAGAATGCTCTTTGGTTGTAGGTGAACTATAAATCCCAGCAACTACAACTCCCAAATTACAAAATAGATTTTTTTTAGTGAAGGACATACATTGGGTTGTTAGGCATCTTTTGTCGAAATTTGGCGTCAATTCGTCCAGTGGTTTTTGAGTTCTGTTAATCCCACAAACAAACATTACATTTTTTATTTATATAGATCAAAAGCATTGCATAAATTAGTATAAAACCGATAAAAATAGAAGGAGCACAGGTGGCTACATATCTTTTGACCAAAAACGGGCAACAGCATTGTCTGTAGCCTCCAACAATTCTTCCTCTGTACATGAGGCAGGGCATTGTGGACAAGCATACAGATGCGGAGTTGTCTGTCCTGCTCCACAGTCACATAGATGCAGGTATTTATTTATCGTGTCAGGAGCAAACCAAAACAGTTGTATTGCATTTTTAAACAAACAAACAAACAAACAAACAAAGTTTGCAAGCTTGGTAGCTGATTAAATGTCCTGTTCYGTCTTCCAGGAGCATGGTTTACGTTGCCTTTTMGCTGCACGGGATAGCATTCCTTTGCATTTCCCCAGGGTTGCTACAGACCCAGCAGCATCCTGGAAGTTAAACAGTATCAGAGTCTGGAAAG